CATTGAGGCAGGGTCTCTCGCTTGAACATAGAGTTTGCCGTTTTGACTAGTCTAAGCAGCCAGCTTGCTCAGAGGCAAGCTGAGCACCGCCTGGCCCTTACACGGATGCTGGGATCTGGATTCTGGTGCACACACAGCAAGCTCTTTGGCCACAGAGCCAGCTCCCCAGCCTGTAGTGTTGGGTTTTGGTTTGGGGGTGGGGATTGTTTGTTTTGGTCGGTTTGGGTGTTGTTGTTCATATAGAAGGGTGCTTTTGTGCTTTTGGTTTTCTTTTATTTTTTTTTTTTTTTGAGACAGCGTCTCATGATGTAGCCCAAGCTGGCCTCAAAGTTGTGATCTTTCTCCCTCAGCCTCCCAAGTGCTGGGACAACAGGTGCGTCACCCGATCTTCTGAAGAGAAGAAACTTGAATGACCTCTAACCAAACAGACCTCATCTTTCCATAAACAGATAGCAGCCTCACCCACCCCTCATCTACAATTAACCGAACATCTCTCAAAATTAAGAGATTAAATGAGGAAAAGAAAAGTCCTCCAGATAGAAAAAGAAATCCACTTCTGGAATTATATATACATATATTAAAAAAAAAATACATAACCAAGAAAATGTGGCCGGTAAGCTCTGCCATGGTAGATGACATCAGCAATAGCTGGAAGCCGAGTGCAGGGACTCAGAAGAGGAAGAACGCAGACACACGAGCATCCCAGATGGAGATGAGTCATCCCCCTTGGGAAGGGGCAGTTCCAGTCCAAGCTAGTCCTAGAACACGCTGTTCAGTGTGAGCATCCTGGCCAATCTTGAGGATATTTGGGTCAGAACCCTTAGAACTATGTAGTGTTGTCCTTCCCGGTTCACATCAGACCGGCCTCTGATAGGACTTTCTCTGGAACGCAGGGGACTGTGGGGGGGAGTCCCCTGAATCATCAGAGCCATAGCACACCGCACCATCCTAAGCCTGGGATCACAACACTCTCCCACAGAAAGACTATCCCAGGATAAGACTCTCTGACTCAGTTGTGCTACATCCAGGAGGGAAAACAGGAGAGAGAAGACAAGGTTCTTTCTTCTACTAAAGTCACAGTAAAATTGGACTGAATCTTATGAGTCAGAATTCATGCAATTTGCATTTGTGTGAGTGTATGTGTGTGAGAAGGTGTGTTTGTGTGAGAGTATGAGTTTGAGAGAGTGTGTGTGTGTGTATGTATGTGAGTGTGTGTGTGTGCATGCAAGTGTGTGTGTGTGTGTGTGTTTGTGTGTGTGTGTGTTTGTGTGTGTTTAAACTGACATTTGCAGAAATTCCTGTGAAACCAAAGCACAGAGAACAGGAGCAAGCCAGGGAGCTAAGGTCTCTTGGAAAAAGTGAAAAAAATATCACCCACCAAGATTTCACCATGCACTGTTAAGTTTAGATAAACTTAGTGGTGAGGCAAACCAAATAATTAATGGCTATGTAACCACCAGACAATCATCTACATGGCTCAAGACCCAAAAGTACAGACATCTGCCTAAAATCACGTTAGACAGCAGTCTCCATACCACTTCCAAACTCATACAGAATGGAAAGACATTCTTGGTCATTCTACCTAGGCCAATCACACATGGCTCAGTAGTTTCCTGGGCCTGTAAGAACAATGCTGAATTGTTGTTAAGATTTATATTCGTAGGAGCTCCACAAGAAGAGCAACAGAACCAAAAAATCTGGGCCCAGGGGTCTTTTCTGAGACTGATATTCCAACCAAGGACCATGCATGGAGATAACCTAGAACCCCTGCACAGATGTAGCCTATGGCAGCTCAGTCTCCAGGTGGGTTCCCTAGTAAGGGAAACATGGACTGCTTCTGATATGAACTCAGTGGCTGGCCCTTTGATCACCTCCCCCTGAGGGGCCAGCAGCCTTACCAGGCCACAGAGGAGGATAATGCAGCCAGTCCTGAGGAGACCTGATAGGCTAGGGTCAGAGGGAAGGGGAGGAGGACCTCCCCTCTCAGTGGACTTGAGGAGGGGCATGGGAGGAGATGAGGGAGGAAGAGTGGGATGGGGAGCAGGATGTGGGAGAGGGCTACAGTTGGGATGCAAAATGAATAAACTATAATTAATAAAAATAAATTAATATTAAAAATAAATTTTTAAAAAAGATTTAGGTTCATGTTAGGTTTGTTGTTGTTGTTATTTTAGGGTTTCCTTTTGTTAGAGACAGGGTCTGACCATATAACCATGACTGGCTTGGAGCCAGCTATACAGACCAGCTTGACTTGAACTCACAGAGATCAACCTTTAGACTTAAAGGAGTGCTCCATCTGGCCCAGATTTCACGCCAGTCTTGATGTTTAAAGGTTTTACTATCATAAATTGTATACTTTCATAGACAATGTGATCCACTTGACAATAAGTCAGAAATATTAAAATTTTAGCTTTTTGTTATTTTTTTGATAGAATGCTCAAAACTTCTTCCCATAATTATTAAATTTGGGGGACAATAAATGGTGATAAAACACCTTTATTGTGAGAAATACAGCCAACATTCTCTAGAGCCATAAGCCATTTGCATATGTCTTCCTGCCGACCTGGCAGAAATACCAAGACACAGACCAAAAGACACATAACTGGCCTCTTGAAGTGTCTTAAAGGCCCCCTTGCAGAGTGAAAATGGACTTAACCAGCTGTGTCTGCTGGTGCAAGATTTCGGTTACACACAAAAATAGCAAAGGCCCACCTAAAGCCCTCCCATGGGCCCAGTATTTACAGTGTCAGATGAAGGCTTAGCTGTTCCAGGCTGAGTACCGCATTTCAGATCTCTGTGAATGGAGTACCATGGCATTTTCAATGTGCAGTCTCAGCCTGAAGGTCAAGGAAGTCACCCCCCCCCCAACCAGTTCTGCCAGCCACCCATCGACACTTTGTGCTTGAGTGGTCCTGTTCATTTCCAGGCAGCAAGTCTTTTGGGTTTAGGGGGAGGCGGGGCTGGGGTGGTTTGTTTGGTTTTTGCATTGCCAGTCACTCATTCACCTGCACAGGTTTGTTTGACCACCGATTTTATCCTCGAAGCCTTTTATGCAGAAGTATAACACAAGTTTCTAAATTTTAATTTTATTCCACATATGCCGGGTTCCCCAGAGAGACTAACTGAAGATAAAATTGCTTCAATTACAGGCAGCCATAGAGGTCTTCAAATGCAGCTTGATATGAGCCATTCATGTACAACCCTGAGTAAGTTATCTTTGATTGTCATTCAGGCTGTTCATCATTGTGTGGTGCCTCCTTCCCAGCTCAGGGTAGGATGGTACTTCTGACCCTTCTGTTAAGCCAGTATGAGCTTGCAAATTGTTCTGGACAATAAATGTGAGCAGAAGGATCACTTCCTGAAGAAAACTTAGAATCAGAGAGTCTTCTCCATGTTTATTTTCTCACTTGCCAGTGTTTAGTGTGTGTGTGTGTGTGTTTGTGTGTGTGTGTTCAGTCAGCCACAGACCTGAATAAAGAGGACAGTGGTGTACCCAAGAGATACAAGCTAAGCGAAGAAGTAGGAGAAGAAGAGGAGGAAGAGGAAAAAGAGTAGGAGGGGGAGGAGGAAGGAGAAGGAAGAGAAGAAGAGGAGAAGATAGAAGAAGAAGAAAAGGAGGAAAAGGAAAAAGAGGAGGAGAAAGAGGAGGAGGAAGAAAAGTAGGAGGAGAAGGAAGGTGTTATTTCAAATTACTGAGCTTTGAGGATTGTTTGTTATGGCAACATAATGTCCCTCTACACTTAATTGAAATGTGTTTTTGTTTTTGTTTTTGTTTTTGTTTTTGTTTTCACAGAAAAGAAATGTTGGGGCATCATGGCAAATGCTACTCTAATCCAAAACAGAAGAAATTTGGACTCCGCTACTTGATGGTATACACATGATTTGTGCATTCATACAAACTGGCAGTCGGTCACTACAGCTGACTTTTCCTCATCCTGGCCACAGTAAAATTACTCAGAGCCATCAGATAATATGCAATTTTCAAAAACCTCATATAAAGACAAAGTTCTTTTTACTTTAACCCATTGTCAAAATCATTTGCAGGGTCACACGCCCCAGGCCAAGCCCGTTAATCAAATGGAGCTTCATTCTGAGGCACCAACCAAGTTAGCTGGCTGTTAAACTCCTATGTCATTAAGGAGGCCCAGGCTGGCCCAGCGGGAGATGATTGAAAGAAAAGTGAATCATCCAAACATAGACAGCATTAGAGACCCTAACCAAGGCAAAGGGTCGTGCTAAACCTTCTCACTTCCGAGAGTTTGAAGCCTGAGCCCAGCGTAGTAAGAAGAAATTCAAAGGCTCTACATCTGATTGATTTCCTCTATGTAAAAGCCATCCGGGATGTTTTTGGGTCTGGAATGCGTATTTGAGCATTATGCTCAAACAGAGACTCATAAACCTGATCGCACGTGGTATACCCCTACAATCTCTGCACAAAGTCTCCACGCACACACCCCTCGAAAGATCTGAAAGATCTCCTTCCGGACTTCCAAAAAGAATTGCTGGAGTTTCTCGTTTAAGTAAGGAATAAAACTGTCGGGTTTTCAGTTCGCTTTGAACTGGTGAGTCAGGGACGGGTGGATGATGTCATACGTTAGTTAGTTAAGCCTGCAATCTCTGATGTGGTTCTCTCAAGCTCCCTCAAGCTCTCAGCTCGGGCCTGTCCCCTGTTTCCGTGGCAGACAGTACTCCCCGGGTTCCTGCCTTTCTTTTTTTGGCTTCTGCCCAGCCACAAGGCAGCAGCCTGGCTAGCAGGGGATAGAGCAGGAAGTCTGACAGCTTAAGCCGGCTGCGGGACCCCTAGTGTTTTCCCACTCAGCGTCCTGGCCTGGTTCCCCAGAAGCACAAACACACGCACAGAGCCCCATTGTTGCCGCCTTCCCGGCCCACTGATCCTAATATGGAATGCAGCAGGAAACCCACGATTTCCTGACACTCGGCATAGCCGGAGGAAGCGAGGGGGGGGAAAACTCCGTTTAAAAAGCCCTGCTCTCCTCCATGTTAGCTTACCCAAATCCCACCGTGTGTCATCAGCCAGGCTGGGGATGGGGAGGGCAGGGTGAGACCCTCAGAGGCTGCTGACATTTCTAGACCGCCAGGAAGTCCCGGGAAGTCGGTGGGAATTGAAAGTTCCTTAACTACAGCCGTTGGGGGGGGGAAAGGAGGGCCCGACCCGTTCTCATCCCCCTCCAGCATGGTGAGCGGCGGGGCGGCTCGTGCGCATCCGGGCTGCGCTCGGGCGAGCCGGGCCAGGCACAGCCAGGCTGCCTGAGCTCCAGCCCGCGGCCGGTGCCCCCCCCCCTCGCTCCATGCGCTGCTGCAGAAGCCACCACGGCAGCCGCCGCCGACATGAGCTGCAGAGAGGGGGCTGACAGCAGCTGCGGCTGCGGTGGGCGCGACGACAACAGGATCCTCAAGTGCGTGGTGGTCGGGGACGGCGCGGTGGGCAAGACCTGCCTGCTGATGAGCTACGCCAACGACGCTTTCCCGGAGGAGTACGTGCCCACCGTGTTTGACCACTATGCAGGTAGGAGAAAAAGTGGGGCCCCGTCTCGCTGAGCGGCGTCGGGGGTAGGGGTACAGCTCCGAGGGGCCTGGCTCAGCCAGACAGTCAGAGGAGGATGTGGGCCTGGCAGGTACCAGGCAACTCAAGTCAAGAATGGTGCTGGGCTCCCGAGGAGAACCTGTGCCTCAGCTTACACAGCAACCCCTTCCCACCTTGAGGCAACTGTGTAATCCTGGGGAAATACCTCCAGACCCAGGGGCCAGAAGTTTTTCTAAACCTTTTTTGCCTAAACTTTCCTCAGCTTCTCAGGACGGTCATTTTTAAGTGTAATGTGACTGCAGAAATTTCCATTAAAAAAAAAAAATCACCGCTAGACACGTGAGAACTGTTCTGTTCTCTACAATTTTTCTGCTCCTTCATGCTAGGCACAAATAAGAATGCTAAGAAAGCCAGCCAGTGACAACCCCTATCCCCTCTCTTCTGGATTACTTGGGGCTTAAATTTCGTACTTTCACACTTCCCGGGGGAGGAGGGTAGTAGGTGAGGAGAGAAAGTGTCCCAAGCTTGTAACTATTGAGAGGTCAATGAAGTAAAAGATTGCAACGTTTTTAAAAGTTAAAAAAAAAAAAAAAATCAAATGCAAATAAAATCATTTTGAGTGGCCTGAAAAGGCAAATTTGAGTATAAACTATTTTAAATCACGGTCCTTCTGATACTGTAGTCACCAATTAACTCTTTGAAAGGGCTTTTAGTACCTGAGTGTTGGAAAGTTCGTGGAAGTTTTGGTCAGCATCGCATCTTGTCTCCCTCGTGGCTGTGACCCATGTGGGTCCCCTGGGTGAGCTGAGGAGTTGCTTTCAGCTCTCTGTGGCCTCAGTTTTATAACTTTTTTTTTTTTTAACACGGAGACTGTCAGTGAGATATCAGGAATCTGGGGTCTGGTGGAGGAAAAATCCTCTCTATTCACCTTGGTCTGGGATCACATCCCCCTAAAGGAAGTGCTCACAGGAAGAAGCCAGCCTGAGTCTCTGCCCTTTGAAACCCCCCCTCCACCCAAGCAGGAGTGTCTTCCCTGTCTTCCCTTCCTTTTAACTGCACATATTTGCAACAGTGGTAAACAGCAGACAAGGGAGAGTTCACGGCTGGGGAGAGGGTCCATTTCCTGGGAGGTTCTTTATAATTGTAGAAATTACCCGAAATTTTTAATATTAAATCCCTGGAGCTTTTCCGAAAATGCACTGAGTTTGACGAGGGAAGAACTTTTTAATAGGAACCCAACAAAAATAAAAACAGATTCATCTTGAGAGGGGAAAAAAAAAAAAACTGTTGTAAAATATAGGGTTTGTGCTTTGAGGAAGGGACTGCAGTTCTGGTCCTGAAAACATCAGAGCTGACTTCTCTGTCCTGTGTCTTCTTCGTGCTAGAAAGGAACGTGCTTAGGACTTTATTTCTGATCAAAGACAGAACTGAAGATCTACTAGAAGGAAAGGCTTCTAGTGCCTGGGAAATTATGTCCCCAGGAACCCATCCTTCGGCTGAGCCAATTACAGTCATGTTAGGAAGAAAGGCAAAACCATCTTTGGAAATAAAATTCGACTATGAAGGGGGGAAAAAAACCTTAGAGGTTAAACCTTCTGGGCTTTGCTGGTGTTGGGCTACTTTACATTTCAATTATATGCACACTGAGTGGTATGTGAGCACTGAAACATCTCGAAGAGGTTTTAATAGTTGAGTTTTCATGAAGTAAGCTGTGCTATTTTAGTTCCCCAGAAATCATGGCCCCTCTGCACAGAGCAGCCCTTTGCACACAGCAGGAGTTCCTGAGCATGGCCACTTCGGTTTATGCTATAGCTTTCATACGTGATCACCTTGTGTGCTATCCCTGTGGTTAAAGGGGCGGAGGCCCGAGCCGCACTCACACCAGAGACTCATGAAGTGCTGATTTCCCTCCCAAGACTCCACCCTGTTCGTACTTGCTTTGGCTGAGCCTCAGCCCGTGGGCGGCCATCAGGGAGCAGATAAACTCTAAAGCAACCAAACGCCCCCCCCTCCCTTCCACATCTGGATCCAGTTTTCAGTTCTCTGGGTCCTACTGACCCACTCTTGGTATGACAACAGGAAACAGACGCTGTGTCTTTCGAGAAGTGCAGTTGAAACCAGAGACAGCCTGTCCCTTCAAGGTGGTTGGTGAACGATGGTCCATCTCGGGAGAGAATGCATGCAGGAGTGGGGACATGGCACAGCAGTACCGCGTGACCTAGTTTTCATACCGTCTGTCATTTACTCTGTGGCCCTGAGAAAGTTATTAAACCTCTCTGCGCCCCCGTTCTGAAAGGCAAGAACAGGGACAATAAAGGTAATTGGATTGTTTTTAAAAGCAACATGGATTCCCACCTGTAGAGTTCTTCGTGCCCAGCGTGCAATGCTAGACGTGGGGTCAGGCATCACATCTCTACAACTGCACCCAGTGACGAAACTGAATTAAAATGCTGCTAAAAGATAAAGTGTGCGACGGGAGGGGGGTGATTCCAAGAGGATGCCGTAATAGATGGACAGGGCAGGACGCGATGTATGTCGTTCTTATAAAATAGTCACCGCGGAGCTGAGAGCTGACAGCCTGCTGCAGGCGTAATGGGATGGTAACCTACGAGGGAAAACACCAGTTTTAAATAAGTAATGGTGAGGGGAAAAAAAAGACCTGTCAAACAGAAGTTGAAGTTCATTGCTCCTAATGTACCCGTCCTTCCAAGCTACCAGAATCCACAAGGACCTAAGCTGCACGTAGCTTCCCTGAACTTTCTGAGGCCGGCTCCTTGATCTGGGTCCAGTTCACCTCCGTGACTGTGTTTCCATCTCCAGGCACAGTTAGCGCCATCCTGTCGTGGCTTATGAGTTTCCTAACCCCCCACCCTCTCTATGATACGAATCCTAAAAGGAAGGCCACCTCTTGCCACATCCAGCTGGCACCTCACTCTGGAGAAGCTCTGAAGGTTCATGACTCTCCTTAAAACACCAATCCTTAGCTCGGTTTCGGGAACACCTCCTCCCTTTACTGTTCCACACCCCGGCAATTCTCTCCCACCTCCTCTGCGCCTCCCCCATCTCCAGCGTGCTGAGTGGGAACACAGTTCAGCGGTCAGTTCCCTGGTTCACTTCTCTAGTTAGCCTCAGGACCCGGGTAATGGTATCTAGTTTCCCAGCTTAAGACAGCATTGATATACTACCAGTTTCTTATTTATATCTGCCCTAAAGCCTTGGAAGACTCATCTGTGCAAGTGCCTCATGTCCATTTACACAGCTAATAGGCATCTCCAGCTAAGGCTTTTTCAATTCTCCTGTCTGCTCTGCTACCTCCCATCGTTTCTACATGAGATCACTGTTGCTAAGCCAAAAAAATCTGCATCCAGGGGGGTCCTGCAGAGACTGATGAATCAACCAAGGAATGTACATGGAGAAGACCTAGACTCCCTGTTCAGGTATAGCCCATGGGCAGCTCAGTCTCCATGGAGGTTCCCTGGTAAGGGGAACAGGGGGTGTCTCTGGCATGAACTTGGTTGCCTGCTCTTTCATCACCTCCCCCTGGTTATGTGGCCTTACTCGGCCACAGAGAAAAAGGATCCAGAAAGTCCTGATGGGACCTGATAGAGTAGGGTCAGATAATAGGGGAGGAAGACCTCCCCTATCAGTGGACTAGGGGAGGGGCACAGAGAGAGAAGAGGGAGGGAGAGTGGGACAGGGAGGAGATGAAGAAGGAATCTACAACCGGAATACAAAGTGAATAAATTGTAATAAATAATACTAATTTTTAAAAATTTCAAAAAAGAAAAAAAAAATCACCCTTGGTTTCTTCAGTGACTGAGAACAAACACCAATGTTATTGTGACTCCTTTCTTCCTTTGACACCATCCTCCTCCCTCTCTATTCAAACCATCAGTTATTATTCCTTGCGTGGACAAATGAGCTCAGCATTCACAGTGCACCAAGAACCAAACCACCCTTTTGCCTTTTCTCCTCTCCACACCACCACAGTCTCTCATCCTCACTACCATAGTGTGGGTCCCAACTCCCTGCTTCTACCGCGGCCACCGAGATCTACACCCAGCTGGAAAGGAACCGCCCCCAGTCCCGGCTCCTCAGTCCCTTCCCTCCACACTCACACACTTCCTTTGCTATAGTATAGAAGAATGCCCCATGACTATGTCTATGTTTTCTCTCCTCTCATCTGCTAACACTGTTCTCAGTACTTCTGCTGTAGCCACAGTAGCCATCTCGCTGTTTCTCATGGAAGGCTCCTCAAACACTTGTCATTCGCTCTTACTCTGGCCCAACACCTCGACATTCCAATTTGGCATAGTGTAGGTTGGCCACATAATTTAATCCATATGTCTGTGCCCGTGTGCTCACAAAAACCCATGCTCACACGTGAACATGTGACAACACAGAGAGAAACTGACCTCTTATTCTGCTGGACCTTCCTTTGCCATATTTAACATTACATGACACCGTATGTTTGTTTGCTACCTTCAGCTTCCGAAAACAGAGCCTGGAACATAGCCTGGAACATATGTTCCAGAGCCTGGAACAGAGCCTGGAACATATCTCAGTAGATAACCATTGGGTGAACTGATTCTAGGCATTCACCACCTTGGTCTCTTCAGAATTCAAGTCATCTCTAGTCCATGAAAGCCTTGGTGAGTAGGACCAAAGGCATGGTTCTATGATATAAGCCTTGTCACACATGCACAAGCCTGGTTTTGATCCCAAGCACTGGAAAAAAAAATAAAACGTTGACAAACATATGAAGAAATTGCCAGTCCAAGATATATCTCTTTAAGAATGAACATGTGAAACTATTTGTTAGGCACAGTCTATCTTGTAATTTTTTTTTTTTTTTTTTTTACATTCTAGACCATCATCTCTTCTATGATATGGTAATAATTATCTTGACCTCAGTGGGCAGTGGGACATCTATCCAGTAGTGTCACGCTACAATGTGTAAAGGTCACGTGTTTCCTCCACTG